GTGATGTGAAGGCCATCATTATTTCTTAAATCTAAATGGAATGTAGGCATCCAGTGTTCAAGGGGACCCCTCTCATGGGAATTTTCTCTGCTACACTCCATGGGTGAGAGAGAGAGAGGAAATAGCAGGATAAGATCACTAGACTCTTTCCAAACTATAAACTTGGACATGACCTGACAAGGAATTTTTTTTCCTTCTGAGTTATAATTGTTTTCCAGTATTAGATTCCTAAAAGCTCCTCAGGTCCCTAAATTCCTACATAATTGTTGGATGATGAGGTTTATTTCTGCCCACCACCAGGTTATTTCTACCCTCTGAGTCATTTCCTCATCAACGCACCATTAAGCTGGGTTGCCAAGTTCAGAAGCCCAGCGCTGGCTGGGGACGTAAGTGGCCGGTTGTGCTCTCCTCCTTCGCTGTGAATGCTCACCTGTTCCTGGGGTGCTCCTTGTTGCTGTGCCTTGCAGAAACAGATTGCTATCCGGGCCTGTGGCCTGTATTTCCTTCTGACATAGCAACTGGCATGGTTCCAGAGTGATGTCTGAAAAAATACAGGAGCCACTTAGCGACTTTTGTTGATAAGTGTGATTTTTTTTTTTTTTTTTTTTTTTTTTTGGTCTTTTTGAGACAGTCTCACGATACAGTTCAGGCTGGCCTTAAACTCACTACATAACCCAGGCTGGCCTTGAACTCTCAGTGATCCTCTTGCCTCAGCTTTACGAGTGCTGAGATTACAGGTGCATGCCGCCATGCCCAGCCTGCTAAGTGTGATTTTAAAGTAACTTTTTAGTAGTCTTTAGACTTACTTTATCTTTTGCTAGAGTAAATCTTTTTTTTTTTTGTACCCAGAATCAAACTCAGGACCTCGTGCTTGTCAGACAGGCCTTGTGCAGATGAGCTATATCCCCGGTCCTAGAGCAGGTCTTTGATCCTGTCTTATAGAAAGCATTTATAAATACATTAAAAATTGTTCATTTTAAGAAAGAATTATTGTTGGGGCTGGGGATATAGCTCAGCGGCACAAGCGCCTGCCTGGCAAGTGCAAGGTCCTGAGTTCGATTGCCAGTACCAAAAAAAAAAAAAAAAGAAAAAAAAGAAAGAAAGAATAATTGTTGAGCTATAAACTATATAAATTGTATGACTTCTATGCGTCTCTCAAACCGGGCTTATGTGTCATTTCCTCCAGTAGCATTCATTTGAAAATGTTACATAAGCCAAGCATGGTGGCACACACCTGTAATCCCAGCACTTGGGAGGCTGAGGCAGGAGAATCGTTGTGAGTTCAAGACCAGCCTGGGCTACAAAGTGAGCTCAAGGCCAACCTGAACTGCACAGCAAGGCCCTGTCTCAAAAAGATTAAAAAAAAAAAAAAAAAAAAAGAAAGAAAGAAAATGTTACATAAACCATTTTTTTAAATGTTTCATTTGTTCTAAAAAGTCAAATATTGTGGAAGGGTGTAGAGCAAAAGGTAGAAAATCTCCTCCACACATTCTAGCCTGTGGTTCCACTCCCTGAATGCAATCACCGCTAGCCAGGCCTTCCGAGCATATCGGTGTCACTTCCATACTTGCGCTTGTTTCTACACACATAGCCATACTGTACGTGTAGTTCTATGTGTTGCATTTCCTTTTTTACGTCATCTCTTAAAATACCTGGGCCCGACCTGTCAGCGTGCACCGCTGGGCCTTTCCCGCAGCTACATGGCGCTGCGTTCTGTGATGTGCCATTATTTCTGGGTAAGTACTTTCCACTTCGGATCCAGTGAAGTCCTGTCACCATAATTACAAATAGTGAACATGGTAAGAAGTGAAAGTACTAAGCGAAGGGACATTTTTTTGTGTGTCTACTTATTGTGTTTCCGTGGTGCTGGGAATTATGGTTGTCGTCTCCTTAGTAAACTGTGCGATTATTTCTCATGTTTTTTTCTAGAGCTTCACTCATCTGCTTTGCTACTTCTGCTGTCACCATTTCAAAAAGTCCAGCTGGGAGCCAGAGATAGAGCTCAGCGGCACAGCATCTCCCTGGCAAAGTGTGAAGTCTTGAGTTCAATTCCCGGTACCAAAAAAAAAGAAAGAAAGAAAAGAAAAGAAAGAGAAAGGCCAGCTGGGTGGCTTTTGATTTTCCACCTCAATCGCCCGCTGGGTTTGCCTTGGGCGAGCTGGAGGTCTGGCGCTGCATCTTGCTTCTGTGTTTCTCTCCCTCTCTCCCTTCTCTCTCCATGTCTCTCTCTCTCTCTCTCTCTCTCTCTCTCTCTCTCTCTCTCTCTCTGGTACCGGGAATCAAACTCAAGACCTTGCGCTTGCCAGGCAGGCACTGTGCCACTGAGTTATATCCACAGCCTTCATTTCCTATTTTTTAAATTTGTTTTCTGCATTAATGTTTGTAAATTGCTTACGGTCGGTAGTTTCGTAATTAGCACCAAGACCTCTTTAGGAAATGGTTACTTCTCAGAGATGTCTTCTATACATAGCTGGCGTTTGGTTTGTGAGTCTGTCTCAAGACCCGGCCGCTTCAGTTTGTTAGCAAATAAAAGGCTGGCGTTTCTATGGCGTGGAACCTAGTTCTCTGGTGCTGGGCTATGGTACTGTTTATGGCCCCAACAATCTCAGTATTGGCATACAAGGAAGAGCAACTGATCGCAACAACTCTGTCACTTTGGCTATGACCAGTAATAACTATAGCATCCAGCACAGTTCAGAAAATGACAAACTGTGATAATATTCATTTGCCACCATGGGTACAAGCTTTATAGTTAGATAACAAAATCCAAAACCAATCAGAAAATTATATACAGTAAAATTCACATTATTAACAGAGTGATTTTTACCCTCAGGGGAGAAAATTGAAATGAGTTAAGAGGGAAAACTAGAGAAAGAAAAGAAAAGAAAGATTAAAGGCAAGGCTGAAAGGTGAAGGAAGGTTACTCAAACTTTAGGAAACTGGTGAAGAAGACAAGAGAGGAAGAAAGAAGAAATAAACAAGAACAAAGCAAAATAGAAAAAACTAAAAGCAATGTTCACACTCATAAAAAACAAAAAGACACAAAGACACAATCAAGGGAGAAGAAACCAAATGAACAAAACAAAACAAACTGAAAATCCTGGAAAACATAAACAAAAGAAATTTCTCCATGACTGCAAGCCTGAGGCTGTCTGCCATCCTAACAGGTGAAAATTATTCTTCTTCTTCATGTGCCTTTGCTGGACTAGTTATGTGGGACACTTTTTTCCATAGGACTAGGAGCCTTTTGTATAATTGTACAAATTTCTTTCTTTCTTTTTTTTTTTTTGAGACAAGGCCTCTCTATGTAGTTCAGGGTGGCTTTAAACTCATTATGCAACCCAGGCTGTCCTTGAACTCTCTGAGATCCTCTTGCCTCAGCCTCCCAAGTGCTGGGATTGCACATGTGCCCCCACTGCACCAGCTACAAATTTCTTATTTTCTATCTTTCCCTGATTTTTCCTGTTGTATTACTTATCGTTGGCCATATCCATTTTTATGAGAAGAAAAGAAATCCTTTACTGCGATGAGCTTCCGTAGATACGTAACCCACCAAGAGTCCAGGGGAAGATGTAAATGTGTAGATGACACATGGGCGCCCTTGTAAACACCAGGTCGCTCTCTTGAAGCCCTAAAAGAGCACCAGTGGGGCCGCATCACCTGAAGGGAGAAAGGAAACCGCTGGGCTGGATGTGGGTGTGGCTCACTCTTGGTCCTGCTCTTCTCTTGCTACGTAAGAACCAGCAGGACCTGGCAGATTCGCTCACAGTCTCCCTGGCACGTGCACCGTGCACAGCAGGACTGGGTTTTCTGCGCTGAGTCTCAGGAAGGTAAGACAGCGACACTGGCTAGTCGCATCCCCAGGCAGAGCCCGGATCCTCTGCCAAGTGCACTCTGGTGCCAGGATCCAGCCCCTCACCACCATAGCCAGAGCACCTGTCTCCTTCTCCAGCCGTCAGCTGGGGGCACTCAGCTCCTGCAGGTGCCCACGTTCCTTGTCACATGGCCCCTTCATCTCAGGGCCAGCCAAGAACGACCTTCCCTATGGTAAATCCCTCTTGTGCTTTCTCCCTCTGACTGTAGGGCTGGACCTAAGGAATTTATATGGTTAGGACAGGCCCAACTCAAGGCTGCTTATCTCACTGGGCGCGGTGGTGCATACCTGTAAGCCCAGCACTCAGGAGGCTGAGTCAGGAGGATCTCCACAAGTTCGAGGCCAGCCTGGGCTCTGTAGTGAGTTTGAGACCACCCTGGACTACATAGCGAGACCTTATTTACAAAAAAAAAAAAAAAAATGCCTGTTTCAAGACGAACTGGACAGCAATGTCCTGTGACCTCAGCACTTAATGAACATCTATCTGATCAACTCCTTTGGAAGAGGTGTTTGTACACCGGAGCCAGAAATTTGGGGAGACCTCGTAGGATTCTCACCACCACATCCTCCACCTGCCTTCTTCCAGAAAAACAGAGCCTGCACCCTTTGGAAGAGGAAATCACACTGAAACACTCGATGCGGGACGAAGGTGACAGGACAGCACCTGTCTAACCCCAAGTACCACAAAGTGCCCCCAACGAGGCAGTCAGAGATCTTGACGTGAACAAGGAACCTGGAGAAAGCTGGAGAGAAAAATCTAGGCAGCTGCATCCACAGCACAGGCGCCAAGCAGACCTTTCTTGACTAAACTTCAGGTTTCTGGTCCTCGTGCCCGCCCCCCGGCCCCTCTGCACCTCGGGGCCCACCCTGAAGACAAGCGGTGCGCCAGTGGGTTTGGCGTCTTTCAGCCGTGCCGTTTCTCCATGGTGTGAGTGGGACCACAGTGCCCTTTTGTGAGATGCCAGGTTACAGTTCAGTGGCACAGAACAAGCTGCCTGGCCCGGAAACGGGTGAGCTGCAGAGGGGAAATGTGTGGGGAGCATTATTCCAAAAGAATTCTAAAGCTGCGCTCTTCCCCTCCCTGTCTGTCTTTCTTTTTCAATCTCCCACCGCTGCTGGGATCCAGGCGCATTGTACGTGATTTGCTTGAGACCGAAGAGACTTATATAAAAGAGATGAAGAGCATAATCGATGTAAGTAGATGGCGGGTGTTGAGCAATTTATTCAAGCAAGAAGTTTCATTGCACAAAAAGACTCAAAATACTTATCACATGTCTCTAGAATTTCCCCTAAGGCTTCGGGTCTTACGTCACAAGTAGGATGTCCAGTAGGAATAAAATCATTATGGCTCTTGGTCCCTGTAGCCAAACAGGCCCAGAGGATTAGGACAGTTCCTACTGATTCTACCAATGCCTGTACTGCTTCATTATATGCTTGCAAGCAAAGGATGATATAAATGTTTTTGATCATGAGAGACCTCTCCTCCTCTCTCTCTCTCTCTCTCTCTCTGTGTGTGTGTGTCTTTCTCTATCTATCTCGACAAGGTATTGCTATGTAGCTCAGGCTGGCCTCTAGTTCAAAATTTTCCTACCTCAACCTCCTGAGTGCTGGAATTACAGGCATACACCAGCACCTGCTACTTGTTTTTTAAGTAGCTTTTTATCCCCCTTAAGAAGATGTATATTTTAGCTGGGTGTGGTGGCACATGCCTGTAATCCTAGCACTTGGGAGGCAGAGGCGGGAGGATCATTGCGAGTTTGAGACCATCCTGGGCTACAAAGTGAGCTCAAGGCCAGCCTGAACTGCATAGCAAAACCCTGTCTCAAAAAGACCAAAAAAAAAAAAGAAGATGTGTATTTTCTCTCTTTCCCTAAGGTAATAATCCAAAGGAAAAAATTACATTTACAAAAATTATTTACCATAGCTTTGTGTGTTTGTCTGTCTGTTTGTTTGTTTGCTTGCTTGCTTAGACAGGGTCTTGCTATGTAATGCAGGCTGGTCCCAAACTCACTATGTGGCCCAGCCTAGCCTTGAACTCACTGCGATCCTCCTGCCTCAGCCTCTCAAGTGCTGGGATTATAAGCATGCACTGCCACCCCTCGCTTACCATAGCATTTTTACAATAGAAAATTCAGAAGTAACCAAACTAGCCATAAAAAGGAAAATGGCTTAAAAAGTATGATAAAGAATTGAGACCTTTAAAACAGATTTGCTTCTGGATTTAGTACATAGTGGTTCAACAATAGCTCTCTTTTCCCCTCCATATTAGTAAAAGGAGGGGCAGACTGATTTTAACTTATTGTGCATATAACTATCATAAATAAAAGATTTTTAGTGGAAAAAAGAGAATTAAAAAGTATGATGTGTGCTGAATAAACATTTTCCTCAGTTAAAAGTTATTTTAGATAATATGTAGCAACATTAAAAAATGTTCTTGGTAGAAACCTAAATTAATAATATGTAGAGCTTTTTTTTTTTTTTTTTTGGTGCTGGGGATTGAACTCAGGACCTCACACTTGCCAGGCAGGTACTGTGTCACTGAGCTATATCCCCAGCCCCTATGTAGAGCTTTTTAAATTGAGTATAAAATATACTTGGAAAAAATACAAAATTACATACATATCATAGTTATAACCATATAACATGAGCTTTTTACAAATTATGAAGGAAATATAGTAAAACTTGATGGTAATTACACATCACAAAATGACAGGTTTCTGTCTTTCATATATAACTTGTGTAACTTGCTAACATTCTAAATATGTATTTGTTCTTCCCATGAAAATACCATTTTGTTGTCATTGCCAGTATGCTCTCACCTTCTGATATCCTGAGGAAAATGACATCAAAAGAAAATACTCAATAGACTAGTTCTCAGGGAGCACGTGTGCTGTATTCCTTGATTGTTTCATTCAAATTTTGGTTCTTAAGAGTTGCTAACTTAGATCATCTTTTATATTGCCTGAAAAACCTGTCTTACTTCCATCTCTGCAGGGCTACATCACTCCGATGGATTTTATTTGGCTAAAGCACCTGATTCCAGATGTTTTGCAGAATAACAAGGACTTTCTTTTTGGGAACATTAAAGAACTTTACGAATTTCACAACAGGTATATACTGATTCATACTGCCGGGAAATACGGAAAGGGACAAGCAAGAATCAGACAGGCAGCACTTGGACATGAACGTGTTTAGATATGTTTCAGCCTGAGCGGTGGGCGGAGGCTCAGGCTAGGATGGGAGTGAGGAGGAAATAAACACCGCCAGGTCCCTGAGGAAGGGGAAAGACACTCCTGGGGCACGCGCTGGGTGTCACACAGCCAGCCTGCATGGGCTGTGTGTTCCTTTGCTTATTTATTTAATGTATCTGTATTTCTTACCTATCTGTTCTGTACCAGGCACTGTGCATAGTGCTGGAAATACAAAGATGACGAGACACCCGCCCATGACCCTATTGCCTCCCAGTGGTACTGGTGTCAGAAAATGCTCACGCCCCAAATGCATCGTCCCTTCAGCCCAGGGCTGCTGGAGCGTTGAGTTCTAGAGCCAGCATCAGGGACTTCCCACCCTCTCGTTCACACCTCTTGTCACTCTACCCCCCTACGTGGCCCCAAGGTGCCATAACTGATTAACTGGGCAGGGATTGCATGCGCTGACCCATCGTCGTCTCCTAATCCCATCCCTTGTCCGTCGGTCGGATGCAGAACCAAAGTGGAATCCGACTTCTGCTACTTCCCCTGTGGAAGTAATTCAGCCTCTTAGAGCCTCGGGTTTCACATGTGTGAAACCTTGGCTTGCGGGGTTCGGTTGAGGGTTAAATGAGATGTGTCTGAAGCACTTAGCGAATGCTTGGTTTAGTCAACCCGCAGTGACATGAATAACAGCCGTGGTGGCCTCGGGCAGTTCCCACGTCACTGTCCACATCAGTGCATCCCGCCTGTCTCCGGCTGTGCCCCGAATGACCAGCATAGCCGCAAGCGGGTTCATAGTCACCACAGCAATGCTCTGAACACATTGTTTTTTCCCAAGTCAACATGTAGAAGATGAACCAAGAGGAATAAAGCCTGCAGCATTTTTCTAGCCACTTCTTGAAACTTTATGTGATTTTACTTAAAAACAGTTTTAAACCCATACATGTAAAAAAAAGTCAAAACATTACTGTATTGTACTTTTATTTCCCTAGGACTTTTCTAAAAGAATTGGAAAAGTGTGCGGAAAACCCTGAACTTCTGGCATGTTGTTTTCTCAAGAGAGTAAGTCTATACTCCCAGCAAACCAAAAATAAAGTCAGTCTTTATTTTTCTGTGTAAATGGCAAGGACAAATAGAAACCCCAAAAGAGGAAAAGCATCCCTGCTTTGTTGATATATAATTGACAAATGAAAATGACATATGTTCTAAGGGTACAATGTGATGACTCGATTCGGGAATTCATTCTAATGTAACTATCACAGTTGAGTTAATGAACACATCCGTCATCTTGCATAATTACCATGGGTGTAAGTGTATGTGAGTGCGTGTGTGCAAGAGATGTGATGAAGCTGAACTCACAGAAGCAGAGATTAGAAGATGACTTAGTTACTTTTTCTGTTGCCGAGACAAAATACCAGACACCCAGCAGTCAAAGAGGAAAGGTTTATGTAGCTCACAGTTCATAGAAGTTTCAGTTCCTAGTTGGCGGGCTTCAAGGCAGGGCAGCACGGCAGAGGGGCATGGCGGAGGAGAAACAATCCGTGGCAGGCAGGCAGGAGGGAGTGAAGCAACGAGAAGCAGCAACAGCAGCCTGCCTTCCTTCTGTCCCTTCATGTCCCACCCAGGCTACAGGCCTGTTGATTGGTGCCACCCACATCCAGGTGGGGCTTCCATTATCCACACAGTTGACCCCAGTGTCACACCCTTAATCCGTATTCACACACCCTAAATCCAGCTACCTCCGGAAAGGCCCACCTATGACCGCATGAGGCTTTGGGGGGACATCCAGATACAAGCCGTAACTGAAGGGTTGATTGTAAGGGGCTGGGGGTGGGGGAAATGGGTAGATGTTGGTGAAAAGGTACCAAGCCTCTGTTATAAGATGAGTAAGTTCTGGAGATGTAGTGCACGGTGTAGTATAAAGCATTGTATACTTGAAATCGGCTGTGAGAGCAGATCTTCCACCTGCCCTCAGCTGCAGCCAGGAGACCTTCACAGTGCCAGGGGCTCCCTGCTGCCCCTCGCTTTTTCCAGCATGAGGACAAGTCTGGCTTGATAGTGCTTACACCAACAGCGAGAACGCGTGCCTGCCTGGCTTCCTGCCGAGCCTGTCGGTGAAGGCTGGCCCCCGGGGGTCCCTGAGTGGGAGATCCTCGTGGAAAGGCTGACTGTGCTTGGGGCAAGAACCATGCACCGCACTAAGGTTTATTAATGCTCTCAAGAGAAGAAGTTTTGGTGTTAAACTCAAAATCTCAGAAAACGTATTTTCTCTCATTTTGTAGAATAGGGAATGATCACATTTTTAAATCTGTAGCCTTTCTTTTTCTATCCTTTTCATTTTCTTTCTTGGTTTTGTTTTGTTGAGACAGTGTCTCGCTATGTAGTTCAAGGTGACCTTGAACTCACTATGTAGCCCAGGCTGGCCTCAAATTCATGGTAATGCGCCTGCCTCAGCCTCCTGAGTACAGGGACTGCAGGTGTGCGCCACCACGCCTCGTTCTATAACCTTTCTTATGCTTAGCAGCCAATTTATAAACTTCCTGTCCTACAACAGCTTGCCTCTAATTACCTCCCCTTCACCATCTGGGGCTCTCCCTGCTTGCCCGGCCTGCTTCTGTACCCCATCTTTGAGCCAGGGCAGCTGGCCTGGAGTAGCCTCTTACCCAGCATCTTTCCCGTGGTGCACTTTCTTAACTCTGATCTTCCGTCTTCTCGGTTTTTCCTATTTCTTCTCTTTTCCAACACGCTGTAATTCTCAGCTTTCTTTCTTGTCTTTCTTTCTGTGAGCCCAGATCAACAGACAAACAACTTAAAAGTTTTTGAGACACCCAAATGATGGCTGAAGCCAGGCATGGGAGGCTGAGGCAGGAGGATCGCTGCAACTTTGAGGCTAGCCTGGGGCTACATAGTGAGTTCAAGGCCAGTCAACACTACAGTGCAAGATCCTGTCACAAATAAATAAATGAATAAGTAATAACCAAATGATGGCTGGCGCATGTGAGGGCTGCACACGCAACAAAATGCAGACGAGCAGACAAAACTTCCCAAGCCTCGAGGTGCAGGATGTAATGGGGAGACCGAGTCCAAGCCCGCCCGAGCTTCCCAACCTGGCTTCCCTAGGCTTCTTCTCAGCGCCAGAGTCGAAGACACACTCCCAGTTGTTTTGCCCTGTCAAATTCTTTCCCTTTTCGAATTGCTGTTCCAACACCCTTAGTGTTTCAAACTATTTTGCACATCTGCACTCCTTACACCACTGCTGGGGAAATCTAGGTTCAGAGCGCAGCCGTGTTTTATGGGCTGCTCACTTCGTTCTTGCAAAGGTTGTGTAAATTGTTGAAAGAGAAAAGAGCCAGATTCCTGGGGGAAGAGACGGACATGGTCAAAATCGTTCACGCCTGAGGAAACAAACGGTCGGGGAACTGCTGCTGGAACACTTTTCCCAGACCGAATTCCTCTTCCGAAGCGCTGTCATTTTTATGCCTGCTCTTGTTGGGAGGAACTTTGGAAATCATTCTAGACTGTAGAATTCTCATCTAATCTTGCGTAACTTATGATACGGGAGACGAAATGCAGACAATAAATTCCTATGAAGCGCAAAAGTTCTCGCTGGTGCCGAGGAGTGAAAACCCCAGTTATCTCGGCCTCTGTACTTGCAGCGGGCGTTGGCCTCGTTTGTGAGGGGCGGCCTCCATGCTGCTCACTGCAGCTGGTTACCTTTTCTCAGGTAACCAGCAGGGCCCACTCACCTTGGAAGCAAATTCTGAATTATTCCTCCACCAAGTTTCTGAGTCAGGCCCCGTAGCCACTCTCATTCAGGAAGATTCTCTCCCAGAGCCCTGCTCGGTGTGGAAGTCTTTGTCAGACCTTATGTGATATTCCAGGCGCACTGAGATTTCACTTGGTAAAATGAAAAAAACTGAATAAGACTCATAAAATGTAACCTTTTGAGGTGGGGGATGTGGTACTGGGGATTGAGTCCAGGAACTTCACCCTGAGCTACATCCCCAGCCCTTTTTAAAATTTTTAAAATTTTGAGACAGGGTCTTACTAAGTCACTAAATTGCCTGGGCTGGGTCCAAAATTGAGATCCTCCTGTCTCAGCCTCCCAGTGTGCCTGCACCCTTGGAATCTTGCTTTACTCTGTATGCAATAGGCTTGAGGGTACAAATACAGCAAGTGGTTCTAGGAAGCAAATATAAGGAGGCTGTAGGAGGGTTCTACAGTAAAGTGCGAAGCACTCAGACAAGAGTGGCCTTTTTTAAGGTACAATGTTGTGTATCTGTCGAGCTGACTACTCTTCAGAGCCCATTTAACAGATGAGGAAGCTGAAGTCAAGCTGACTGAGTAGCTGGCCTTAGGCCATACCCGCTTACCACTGACAAGGCTGAGAACTGAACCTTTCCCACTAAAGCTCACAGTCTTAATCCATAAGCACTCACGTTCCCATGTGCGCACAGGAGTTTGGGGAAGCGATTTCGTTCTGTGAGGGGTGGCAGCGCTTCCGTGGGCTGCTGGCTAGTGCACATCCTTTGGTGAAGGCCTTTTGGAATGTTAGGTGCTTCCAGAGGAAATCAAGGTCAGTAGCTGGGTGCTATTACAGGAAGCCTCATAATGGGCAGTCAGGACGGGGGTGGGGTGGGGAGCATCTCCCACAGAGCCAGGTCCCCGTGCTCCTAGACAGTTTGGAGAAGGGTGGCTGGATGCCGAGGAGGGTACCACATGCGGTGCAGCAAAGTCTCCCAAGCCTTCTCCAGTTCCCGCAAATCTCGTGGTGGGGAAGCGTGGAGAGCAGTGAAACCCCGAATTCTTTAAGGAACTCATGGCTGATGTGTGCACACTCTGACAGCCGGATGTAGGTGAGACGTCTCAGTCCGTGCGTCATGTTTATGAGCCTGCTGTGCAGCACGGGAATGTGCCCAGTGACCCGCTCCTCGGCTGTGTGAGCCGGAGTGTAGCAAACGTACTCAGCACAGCCAAGGCTGGAGGTAGATAGCCCTTGAAGGAGTGAACATATGCAAGCTAAGCTCTGGATTATTCTTCTAGTTCCTTAAGAAATCTGAACGACATTTCGCAGTGGCCATCTCTTCCTCCATCTGTGTGTGTTCGTATATAATTTTTACCTGGAGGAAAGAGTCAAGGACAGAATGACAGTAGGTCCAGTGCTGAAACGACGACTTACCGTCTGTCGGGATGGGGGATGAGCCGCAGAAACGGAAGTCATCCACTTCACCGCTGCACTTTTCTGTTTATTTCCTGGCATCAGGGATTTGAAACAGAGATCCTAAGCACACACCGGGCCACTGAGCTACACCCTGACCCCAGCACTGTGTTTAGAAGTAGAATTGCAAGTTCGGATCCTACCTGTGCAATTTTGAGAGGCTGTCTCAAAATAAAAAAGGCTGAGGGTGTTGCTCAGTGGTAGAGCGCCCTTGGTTTGACCTTCACAGAGAGAGGAAGAAGGAGAGGAGAGGGAAGAGAGGAGAGGGAAGAGAGGAAAGAGAAGGGAAAGGGAAGGGGAAGGGAAAAGGAAGGGGAAGGAGAAGGAAGATCTTGTACTTCAACTGAAAGGGACATCATGATGTCTGAGGCAGAGCTTGCCACTGGAGTGTTGCCCAAGTGACTTAGATCTGTGTTTTGTTGTCTAAACTTTTGAAGTGTCCACAGTTTTTGGTTGCTACTTAGGTCTCTCGGTCAGGTTGGCTTTGTGATGGGCAGGAGAGGATGTCGAGGGCAAAGGACGGGCCACCAGCACTTTCTGTCAGATTTACCACTGAGGAGACATTGTTCCCTGAGAAATAGTGATTTCCTGGGCCAAGAGCAGGGGATAAAAGGTAAACACCAGCTCCTGTCTGTGAATTTACTACTTATCAAAAGCCCTTGGGCTGGGCGTAGCGGTGCACACCTGTAATCCCCACACTCAGAGGCTGATGCAGGAGGATCATTATGAGTTCCAGGCCAGCCTGGGCTACAAAGTGCATTCAAACCAGCCTGAACTGTGTACGGAAACCCTGTCTCAAAAAAAAAAAAAAAGAAAGAAAAAAAAGAAGCCTGCACCTCAAGAGCACCATTCATGTGTTGGAGGGAGGATTTAGGGGGTTCATAGCCCTCTCTGTTCACTGGCCCACCCCAGACTCACCCCAACATAAAGTCATAAACTGGGTGCACCCCCAATTCCTCACACACTGAAATACTCAGGCCTGCTGGATGAATGAGTCATCCTGCCCGCTCCCTGGATAATTTGCTCTGCTTTCCCCCATCCAGAAAGAAGACCTCCAAATGTACTTTAAATACCATAAGAACCTGCCGCGCGCCAGGGCGGTCTGGCAAGAATGTCAGGACTGCGCCTACTTCGGGGTAACGTTGAGCTGAGAAAGCCTCCCAGTTGTTCCCCCTGGAAAAGGTTTCTGTGCCCTGAATTCTTGAAGAAATCAAAAGTCTGCGCGAGGCAGAGGAATTCGGGCCGGGGCTTCCTGTCTGTGTGAAGTGTCCCCTGTCCTTCCAAGTGACGCATGACAGGCTCCAGGGCCCTTGGTCTCTGGAGACCAGGCCCGTGAGGAGCCGCTGTGGTCTGCCAAGAAAACCAGCATCCTCTTTTAGGATGGGCTTTGAAAATGGAGCCAGTTCAAGAATGTCATCTTTTAAGGCTCCCTGGAATGACGGCAACAAGCCACCTGTACCCTCCAGACTCCAAATGACCCGATAGATGCCCCTCGCCCCCAACCTGAAAGACAGGCCACCCTCTTTTCAGAAGGACTGGAAATGTCCACTGTTGGGTGCACTCGCATCTGAAAAAGGAACAACGGTCCTGCTTCCTAGTTGTGTCTAAAAATTCAGGCTGAGCCAGCCCCTTCCCGCAGTGTCCGTTTTCTCGTGTTGTTTGGGGGGACTAGAAAGCCCCCGTGCCGCTGTGGGACCGGTAGACACTGCCGCCTCCCACCTTTGAAGTTGGATTCTTGTATCTGACGCTGCTGCTTTTGTTCTCTCGCTGCCTGTGGTCCGTCTGTCTTGCTTTATGTCATTTCTCTCCGTCTCTTAAAGGTGTGCCAGCGCCAACTGGACCACAGCTTCCCTCTTTTTAAGTATCTTAAAGGACCGAGCCAGAGACTGAGAAAATACCAGACGCTGCTGAAGGTACCATCAGTGGAGAATGCCCTGCAGGGCTGGGGAAATGGACGCTCCTCCCACCTGCGGGTCGCGTCTGGTCTCCTAAGACTCAAGATCTGCCTGTCCTTGGGCCTTTTCTTTCCTCCAAGACTAAATCAGCCCTCCTCGGTGAGGAGTAAGACCAGGGAATCGGAGTGGGAAGGGGCCTCGGAGGCCGGATACGCGGAAGTCTAGCCGGGTGCGTGACTGTCTAGGGGCTCAGCTGGGGGAAGAGAGACCTGGGGACGTGTGGGAGAGATGGATCGGCAGCTCAAAGGTACAGGAGAGGCCAGGCTCTTCAGAGGAGGAGCGCGGCTTCCCCAGAAGTCATCCTTCCTGTCCGTTAGCACAGTGCAAGGGCTGCGTGAACTCCATCAGGCCACTTAAACTCTCTCTGCCTCAGATTCCTCGCCATAGAATTAAGATAATCGTGCTCTCTGGTGTGGTTTTGGGGACCATTAAATGAGGTAATACAGGTTCAAGGTACTTAGAAGATTTTGTTAGCTGCCTTTCACTGTGGAAGTGAAGGGAGAATCAGTGGAAAGTATCCCATGATGAGCAGACCAAGATTCCCCTTTGCTAAGCTTCCTATGTGCCTGGCAAAGTAAGTTCAAACCCTTGGATCCCCGTGAAGACGGGGAGAAATGTGCAGCATTCTCCACCCACAAAGAATGAAGCCTGCCCCGCAGCTCCAAACATCAGCTCGTTCGGAGGAGCGTGGATGTTGAGGCTTAGAAAAGGATCATGAGATCTTGGTCTGGGAAAATATTCTTAAGTACAAAAGAAGACAAAGACAGAGCCACGCATTGTGTCATATGCCTGTAATACCCACACTCGGGGAGGCTGAGGCAGGATGATTATAAGTTTGAGCTCCACCTAGACAACCTGGTGACTTAACTGGATGGTGTTTCAAAATAAAAAATATACAATTAGGTTGATGGTGTAGCTCGGTGAAAATGCCCTGGCTCGATTCCCAGTATCAGAAACAAATAAACAAAACAAAGACCCATGAAAATATCAACAAAATGTGTGCCAACTGGTCAGCACGCTTAAGTAATAATGAGCTCTTAGAAACCAGTGGTAGGGGCTGGGGATTTAGCTCAGCGGCAAAGCGCCTGCCTGGCAAGCACAAGGTCATGAGTTCGGTTCCCGGTACCGGAGAAAAACCAAAAAAAAAGAAACCAGTGGTAAAAAGATAAACAAAGCACAAGGGAGTTTACAATAGAGTTAATTCTCATAGCAAACATTTTTCTCAAAAAGGTTTTACTTCGTTAATTGTCTGAGAGATTCAAATTAAAATGACAGTGAGGCAGGGTTTCTCTGTTAATCCAGTTGGCAAAGATCTGTGATTAAATGGTCACATGCAGTGCAGGCTAGAGGCTGCAGAAGCAGGCCTTCACTGATAGCCAGCAGGAGCACAGCGGAAATATGCCTCAAACCCTCAGCATTTGTAATTCTACTTCTAGAAATGTCTCCTTGGGGGAAAAGACTCAAAATTGTTATTATGGTTAAAAAAAGAGATCAAACTTAAGTATTTCACGGTAGAAAAGACCATGATCCACAGGCGTCATTTAATTCTGCTTTGTCTGTGTGATGCACCGTATCTGCCACAATCAAAAATCATGTTTTAGCCGGGTGTGGTGGCGCACACCTGTAATGCCAGCACTCAGGAGGCTGAGGCAGGAGGATGGCTGTGAATTCGAAGCCAACCTGGGCTACAAAATGAGTTTGAGGCCAGCCTGAACTGCATAGTAAAACTCTGTCTGAAAAAGACAGAAACAAAAAAACAAAACAAAACAAAACAAAACAAAAAAATCCCACCATGTTTTAGAATAATATAATGTCACAGGGGAACTTCCTGATAATATTGTTGAGTGATAAAAAGCCGCAAGGGGATGGTGTGTATGATTGGGTTCTGCATTTGTGGGAAGAACTCCGTGCTCAAGGGTTCATTCATTCTCCCTCTCACGAATTTGTGCCCAGGCAATGTGCTTCACCCAGCCTGCAGATGGTAAGTTTGGTTGGCAGCCTACTTTTTGATTTTCAGAAGGGTTTTGGGGTTACTGCAGGGTCTGCTGGATCTGGAGTCTCCTGAAGATGTGGAGGTGGACCTAGGTGACCCAGAAGGAAGCTCAACAAAGGTACTGGATATTAAATATCACATTTTATAGAGGTAACTGTTGATGGTGTTTCTCTATGGTAGGAGGATTTATAGCAGTTTCATTTTCCTTGCTTATGATATTTATTGTCTAAATTATCTAAGACAGTATGTATTTTATATAATTCATAGTCAGGAAAAAAAATGAAGTTTGAAGTAGGAATTTGCAGCCCAGTGAGAAGTAGTAATATATTTCCCTCCTTCCAACTAAGGAAGTTTTAATGGGAATTCAAACTTCAGCAGATGTGAGGCCAGGAAAGTAGTTCAGTGGTAGAGCACTTGCCCGGCATGTTCGAGGCCCTGGGTTTGATCCCCAGCACCAGAGAAGAAATTGATGGATGTGTAAAATGCACGTGTAAAAGATCAGCAGTAAGAACCATAAGGTACTGTGGTTTTCCTACATAGCAGGGTTATGCATGGTTTATGTTTTCTTCTTTGTACTTCTTAGCATATCTAATTTTTATGCATCCTGCTTTATTCCAAGTGTGCACTTGTGTGTGTGTGTGTGTGTGTGTGTGTGTGTGTGTGTGTGTATGCGAATTCTAAGAGGCTGCTCGGGTGCCCTTGGAGGAAACAATAGCCACCAGGTTTTGAAGAATGAGTTTTCCTTCCATTTCCTGTCCAATATTATTCTAACAAGAAAATCTTGAAACACATCTCAAGGCAAAGAAATAGTCACTTTAGAAAATAGAATATAGTCAAGGCAGAAGTAATAATTTTAGGGCCATGAATAAGAAAGGCTAGGTGTAGGGTTGAAAGGCTTTTTTGTTTTGTTTTTTTTCCAGCACCAGGAATCAAACTCACGACTTCATACTTGCCAGGCAGGTGCTATGCCGCTGAGCTAAATCCCCATCCCCTTGAAAGGCTTTAATAACGTGCATAAGGATTTTTCTGGGCCTTACCTTACACAGTGTAGACTGGCCATGTGGGTGCTTGTGATAGGATGGTTAGTAGAGGAGAGACGAAAGTATTGAGTGCGGAGGAAAACGCCTGCTCGCTGACACTGAAATAAACTCAGAGGACAGTCTGTTGTCTTTCACCAGGAGCTGGAGTGTGTTTAACAGGGGAAGAGGGAAGAGTTCACGGCACACTGCGCAGGGGTGGCAGCTTCTCTGCTCCATTCAAGCCCCATCTCTGACACAAAGATGCCAACACCCAGTGCTTCCACAGAGATTAGGAAAATATGCTGGGTGTGGTAGCGTACACATGTGATCCCAGCACTTGGGTGGCTGAGGCAGGAGGACTGCCTCGAGTCTGAGGTCAGCCTGGGCTACATAGCAAGATCTTGTCTCAAAAAAAGATTACCCTTTTACTATATCACACAGCAGAGGATGAAAAAAAGCTAGGGATTTTTTTGGGAGCAGCAAACAGCTTTCTGTTCTTTATTGTAGAGATTGAAGCGTTAAAAAAAATTACACAGAATAGACCAGAATCTTTTTGTTCTTAATGTAACAGATAAATACACCATCTAGGTAGCCGGGGGATAAATAAATACCACCACATCAAGCAGCAGCCTCTTGAGCTGGAAAAGTCACGCACGCACATCCGTCCTAAAGGTCACTGTGATAATCTTTGGAAAGCCAGTCTCCGAAATTGACAGTGAACGCTGGTCTCTGTGTCGGAGGTGCCGTGGCTTTGGTGAATCTGTTCGGCATCTTTAATTGTGGCGGGGTGTAGGCATGACAGGGGCAGCGTGCAGGAGGAAGCACAGACCCGGCTAATGCCGCCATTTGTGGCTTTGACCCATAAGCCGTTAGTAACCCTCAGCAAGGTCACCCATCCCTTGCCTCTCTAGGGATTGACAAATATTATCCTCTGGAATGAACTTCAGTGTAATCTTCAGTATTAAATAGAGGAATATGATACCTAGATTGTCTTTTTCAGTGAGTGTGAGGAGGTAGAGAGGGTAGAAGAAGAAGTTTAAGAGACTAGTTCTTTTCAAATCTTGACAAAGCTATGTTCTGTTTCTCCTATAGCAGGAATATAATGTCTGTGATTTTATGAGCTTCGCTCTTCGCGAATGCAATGCGCATGATTTTGCTCGTCCCCACACATGTCATGAGCTTTAGCCACCATTCTCTGGGACCAAGGAGGCTGAGCGAGGACCCCACCTTCCAGTCAGTGCCAGCTGGGCCTGGAGCTCCTTGGCTCCGTCCTGCTTTCTGTCTTTGCTTGGTGGATGACACACCTGTGATTTCCAACAAGGCGTTTGTTTTCCACAGGGTATGCCAAAGAAGACCAAGGATTCCACATTCTCAGCCAAACTCCAACAAGCTTTGGCAGTGATAGAGGATCTGATCAAGTCTTGCGAGTTGGCTGCGGACCTCGCTGCGGTATCTGGATGTCCGGTATGTTTCACAGCCAGCGCTGAAAGATTTCACATCAAAGGCAGGCGCAGTATCACAAAGGTAGGAGAGGCCACCACGGTTAGACAAATAATCTGCACCAAAGGAATTGGACTCAGGGCAGAGTCTCCTCAGTTAGACTGCCAGTTCATGCTCAACCTCTCAGCGTGTTCAGGAATCTTGGGACCTGACTGTCACACTGACTCACTGTCCAACAAACCAGAAACTCAGGAGGCACCACATGTCTAGAAGGGGAAGGTCCCAAAGGAGTGATTTATTTTCTAACGCACGCTGCTCCTGGAACGCTGGGGTTGTGTCTCACAGAGACACAGGGCGACACTGCAGATGCAGGAGGTACGGCACAAGCAAACTTATTTAAAAGATGCAAAGGCAAGGACATGGAGCTCCCGCTAGGCAGGAGGGGCCCTCAGCAGGATATCTGAGAAGGCTCTTGATCGAGGAGTTTTTAAGTGTTTAGAAAGGAGCTCGGGCCATTGTGTAAGAACATAATCTCCGCCCTATAGGAGGCTAGATATCTATTTCAGGGTCTAATCCATGTAGTATTCATGCAGTGCCCGTGTAGGGCCATGTGCCTTTGAGCCAGTGTCCTTCCCGGTCCTGCTCGGGGGAGGTCTCTGACAGCCAAAGAACACCTGGCAGATATTTTTGGAAGATCCCTGAAGGGTGTGACTCCGTGGGCTCTATTTTGGGCTTCTTGACTCCATTGGTTGATTTATTGCCTAATAGAAGCTTAACTCTTGTTTTATTTGTTTTGTTTTTGTGATGTTTCCCCTCTGAGGAGGCGATCCTCGCTGCCAGTAGGGAAAAGAGGTGGTGAAGACATAGCTGCTGGGTGTCACATAGGAGAGGCGGGAAGGGCTCAGCGGTCCGGGGCGTCTTCCAGGGGGCCCGGCTGATGCCTGTGATTGAAGTCAGGAAGTCTGTCTGGCGGCTTTTATTTGAAAGGCTCTGGAAGTTTAATAGACTCTGAGTGACAGGAAACGAAGCAAGCAAGGAGATTTAATAAACGGAGTCTAAAGCACAGAGAGGAGTACAAGAGTGTCCACACCGGTGTGGAGGGTCTTCTGAAGGGTGAAGCCAACCCCACGGGGATTTGGAGGAAGCTTTTGAACTGAGATGGGGTCCGACACTGTTTTTGGAAGGAGCTTGGATCAGAGATGGGTCTGGACATTGGGAAGGTGCACCGGTTAAAGAACTGGACATCAGAGAGCGCACCGACGACAGCAGACCTCTTTCTCTGTAGGAAAGGCAGGGTGTGCTAGAACAGTCTCTCACAGAGGCAGAGAGGCTGGTTCTGCAGGGACACAGAGGCGGTTCTGCCCAGTAGCCAGTCCAACGGAAACGTGATTATAAACCTATGTCAGAGGGAGACGCTGGGGTCTCAGAGTGAGCGAGGGCCTGGGGAGAAAGGTCCGGTTTTAGAACTCAGTCGTGCATGCACAGAGCTGGGTATTTAATGGTGTGGCGTGGGCCTGACACACCTCGTACTGCAGTGTGTCTGCCTGGGCTGTCTCTGCGGTGAGAGTGACAGGGACACGGGGCTGCACAGTGTCCTGTGCCATCACGGAGACTGCCCAGTGTCTGGAGAGAGAACCCTGGTGTGACGATTGGTCTTATTTCATTTTAACATGGATTTCGTCTGTGCTTTTTAATTGTCATGGTGTTTCTTTTTCCTATCAAACAGGACTGAGAGAAGTTGAGGCATTAGTAGAATGTATCACTTTGTATGTGGTTTTTCTCCCCTGGAAGGCGCAGGTAGTAAGCTCTCTCATCTTTTTACTATAGTTTTATATATATTGAAAGGAGACACTATAGAGACAGAGTCTAAGGAACTCCAATGTAGGTTCTGTGCCATTAAGGTTAGAGAAGCAATAAGAAGTAGAAATGTGCTGGGCATCATGGTGCTCACCTGTAATCCCAGCACTTGGGAGGCTGAGTCAGGAGGATTGCTGCAAGTTCAAGCCCAGCCTGGGCTACATAGTGAGTTCAAGGCCAGCCTGAACTACATAGAGATCCTGTCTCAAAAAAGAAAGGAGAGGAGAGGACAGGGCAGGACAGAAAAGGGCTATAACTTGGCTCACAGCCTGATAGTTTTGTTCTGAGGGAGTATTTTTTAACTGAAAGACTGAAGCCTAGGTGCGCCTCCAACTTCGTGTCTCGAAGAAGGTAGGAGGGCCAGGCACAGGTGTAGAAGAAGGTCAGAGGTGCTTTCTTTGGGTCTAGGGGCCAAAGGAGCCTCTGTTTTTGAGGATGCATTTTAAAGGGGTGATGAGAGCTGAGACTGAGCTTTTTATATTTTGAACGATGTCGAAGGGAGAGAAGGCATTTGGGGCTTTTTTTATTGAAGCATTTTCAGCCACGGTGCGTCTTGGCCACCTGCGAGGTCCTAGCTGTTAGTGAGTGCAAACGCAGACTGAGAGGGGGTGAGGCTGTCAGACTGGTCTCTCTGAGCAGCGTGTTCTTGGTGCTTTCTGTGTCTCAGAAATCCTTCAGTTGTGAGCAGAAGTTGGACTTTTTATCTAAAAGAAACTGAAATATCTCTGTAGATAAAACTGGAGATTGACTGTTAGACCTTCTGACACATGCTGAAGGGCAGTTGAGGCTAAAGTGAGGCAGGGCCCCAGCAGCCGCAAAACCAGGTATAGTAATCATCTAAGCATTTGGGGGGCCTATTGGCATCAACCCTGCACTCAAGGTGGAGGTCTCAACTAGACCTAGGAGGTCATCTGGCTCTCGTGCTGTCACTTTCATGTTTCCCTGACTTTATTTTTTACCTAAGAAGACAGAAAATACTGTGGAATGGTGGTGTCCCTCATTTTTGTATCTCTAACAGAGGAGACCATAAAGAAGGGCCACTGCTGACAGTGAGGTTAGAGGGGGGAGCGGGGACCGGGTCAGGAGTGGCTGAGGGTTTGAGAGTCAGCGCTGTACCTCTTTAGCCACCTTGCAGCGACAGGATCTGTTGAAGGTGGGACCTAGGCTCAACCAACCCAACAGAAGCAAAAGCTTATAATAACAACATGTGTGTTTTCTTTGATGAGCTTTGTCTCCTTTAAACCTTTTGACATATTTGGACCTCCTAGTTTTGCCACTGTCTTTTCCTTTTTCCATCTTGGTAAGGCAAAATCTTACGCCATCAAATTTTCTCACACCAAAAACATATCTTTAGACTTTTAACTTTTTAATATTTTCTTCTCTGTCTTTTGTTTTGTTTTGTTTTGTTTTTCTCCGGTACCAGGAACCGAACTCATGACCTTGCGCTTGCCAGGCAGGTGCTTTTGCTGCTGAGCTAAATCTCCAGCCCCTTCTTCTCTGTCTTTTTTATTGGTGTTTCCTTTTGTTTTGTTCGTAAGAAGCTCAGTAGCTGCTTGGATTTTAAAATGCCACTAGTCCTGTAGCAGGAAATGCATCCCTCCCCCCCAAGCCAGTGTACATCAGTTTGTTAGTTGCCCAGGTGGTGGTTCCTGTCCCAGTTCCAGCTGCTCCTGTCTCTTAGACATAGCTGGTCACTGTGATGCACATGGTATAAACCAATCCCCAATTGACAGGCCGTTCTGCCCCTGTACTTCCTGCTTGCTTATCCCATATAAGCCCTAGACCACCAGAGATCGGGGCCTGATGTTTTGGGCATGATCCCGATCCATGCCCGTCAAGGTACATAAATCTGCCTCCAAACCCTGGGTGTCATTTCGGTGTTTCTGTTTGCTGTTGCAGTACTCTTTTGAGGGGAGGGGATCTCAGAATGAATTTATTGATGTTTAGGATGGGCTGACCAACAAACTTCTAAGAGACCTTGAGTAGCGTCCTGATCTTAGCTCAAGTAGAAAGGAACGAAAGAGCAAGCTGACCCGGTAATTGCAGTTTAAGAACTGTCCCCGTGCACAAGTACTATTTTGAGCATGCCAATTAGAGAAAAATATCAATTTAAATTGAGAGCCACAAGTAAATTTATCAATCAGCCAAGATGTGCCCCAGTGGGCTTTTGTTAACACCTCAAATTTGTTAGGGAGGCTTGCGCCCCGCTCCCATCTTCCCCTGCTGTCCCTAGTACTTTATATATTGTTTAAGAGCCACTTTTCTCATCCGGTATCCAGCTTTGTAAGTCCCTCGTGGGACCTCAGAGAGAAAACATGCATAGCCTGTGTTGAAAGGCACCAGTATGTGTGACATCCAAGAGCATGCGAGGCAATTTAGCAGTGGGAAGAGAGGACGGAGAAGAGTTTGAGTGACAGGAAGAATATAACTCAGAGAGGAAACAAGGGACTATAGGCAAGACACGCCCCCCAGAGCTAAGAAGCAGGCAGCACAAGACATTCAGGGTATAGGAAAAATTATGTAACACAGACATTTTATCCTTCTGTTGTATAAACATAAAACATAAACCCAGAAGATGTGTGGGGGTTGTCTTGAGGCCAGTGGAGCCTACTCTGCTCCACCCCATGACTGAGTTATCCTTTCACAGGAGTCTTTGAGGTGCTAGCTTCCCTAATGGCTTTTCACTGTCTGAATGGTACCCACAAGAGTGCAACCACACAATTAAGATGAGACAACAGACATAGGGTCTTTCTTACCTCTCGGCTCAGCTCGTCAGGAAAGGAGTCCTGCTGGAGAAAGGCCATGTGTGCCCTCGAGTGCCTGTGGTGAGTTAAAGGAGCAACGTGTCCAAGGGTGCTCACCGTGGAGGATCAAGAGCCCCCAGGACACAGATCTCCCCCTCATCAGCAGAAGGATCAAATCGGAAAGGAAAACTGTGGGGAGACTGGGCAGACATCCCCCCATTCGCGTTAGGGACGGATCAGCTGTCTGCATCCGAGAAACCTGTTCCCCGAGTCTTCACGGTCAGTGAACAAGCTAACCTCTTTTAAATGGTCAACAGATCTTTGAGCAGAAAGCCACAGAGTGAAAGCGAAGGGTGTAGGAAAGTGTAGGCTTCACAACCTCCTCGTGGAATCCTGGATGAGCCCCCGGATATGACAGCGGGA